TTGATGACAAATACTTTGTTGTTGCTCTGAATTAAAAATGCACACATTACAAAGCTAACACTTGACAGCTATTTTCATTTGGGGAAAAAAAGGAAAAACTGTATTGTTCTGTGGGTTTTCAGAAATATTAAAGTTTCAGCAATTGTTTCTGACTGTACAGAATAATAGAGTTGATGCTTTTGAACAAGTCTGGCAGAAACACTAATTATTTCTAGACAAATACATTTCACAGTTCATTTAGTTCTCCAAGATATTTTATTACACTAAAATCACTTCAGAAAAACAATGTTATCATTTTGACAACACAAGTATACAGTGCTATACAATGTACAGCTGTCACTAGAAAAATTTTGATGTCATAAAAATGACCCATGAAATATTTGTCATAAGTTATCTAAGGTTTTTATTTTAAAATTGTAAAAACTCCTTTTAAGTGAAAAAAAAAAACAAACATTTAAAAAAAAAAAATCAACAAATACATATTGAGTATCCCATGTAGTGCCAGGCACTACCCATGAAAGCAATATCCTAATTTATTCAGTACCTGATGTCAAAATGACATCAAATCTGTAACATTAAAGCACCTTGAAACTCTAAAACCCTCAATACAACACTCCTCCCTACCCCCCAACATGCACACCCGCACACACACACAACCACGGGCTTTTAGATATTGCAAGGTAAGGAACCAGAGATCACTGACCCAAGAATACATATCATTTCCATGACCAACTATTACACCTGAGATCATCTGTAATAGGATTAAAACAAACAAACAAACAAACAAGCATGATATCTGTCTTCATTCCATCCTTTTGCTCTCAAGTCCTTGATCTGCATTCCTTTCTCTGAACACCAAATATTATATATCAAGAAGTGTAATTCATTATATGTAGATATTCTTTGTAATAAACATCGTGAGATATACCTAATTCTATATTAGTGAATACTTGTACTCAAAACAAAAACATCCTATTACAAGAAGTTTTCAACTCAAATTTTTTAAACTTTACTTTTTAAAAAATTAAAATTATTTTTTTCCCCTGGAAAATTTCTAAAACTAGATTTTGATGTTTGCTAGACACATACATTGATTAAAACACCAGTGGAAGCAAAAATCACACTTACATAATATACAAGGGGTCTTCAAAAAGTTCATGGAAAGATTCATGTCATCTTTCAATTCTATTTTTCCACAAACCTTTTGAAGTATCCTCAAACAACTAATTTACTATTTTCCTATTTTGGTTTCTTCTAGAAAAAGTTATGTAGAAATAAATTAAAATATAATTTTTCCTAATGGAAAAATATAAAATTGTTCCATTAGCATTATTTAAGAGTCAAAATTTCTAAAACTTAGAGCAAAAATATTCCATGGAGAATAAATTTTACAATTGTCTAAGGTCCTTAGTCCTAAAAGGTAATTTATTTTGTTTCTAGAAAGTAGAATCAAAAATAGCATGTTCATTTCGGTTATTTTAAAAGGAGGTAGATACATTGAATAAAATTTTAAAGAAGGCATTTAACCATCACAGCCCTGCAATTTGCAACCTAATTCAAGAAAACAGCACATTTTTTTTTTCCTTTTTTGTCTTTTTTACTGACCGGTAACGGGATCGCAACCCTCGGTGTCGCGCCCGTACCGGGGACCGGCAACAGGATCGCAAACCTCGGTGTTGCGCCCACACCGCGCTCAGCCAGTGAGCGGGAACCGGTCTCCACATGGGATCCGAACCCTCAGCGGGAGCGCTGCCGCACTCCCAAGCGGCGCACTCTCCAGTGCGCCACCGGGCCGGCCCGAAAACAGCACATTTTATTATGTTTTCAAATTTATATGTTAAAAACTCAAAAGTGTAAAATAGAGAACAGTGTTTAAAAATAAAACATTGTATTTGTATAAATTTGTCTATAAGTGTAGCTAATAAAATAGTTTACATTAACTGCTTCCCTTAACAATTCACTTCAAATGAATAAATTGTTATGAGAAGTATTCTTCAAAGAATATTTAGAAGTAATTGAGCGAATTGAGATAGCTACAAAGATTCATAGCTGTACCCATATGGATTTTCTCCTTCCTTTTTGCTTTAAATTCAAAGTAGATGATAAAATATAAAATTAAATCACTCTGTTCCTTCATCTGGCCTTGATCATATCCAAAACCTTTTATCTGAACCTAGGTCATCTAAGAAAATCAGTGGCCAAATCCTAAAGGTATCCCTTTACCTCACTGCAGAATTTCCCCAGGCTCCATGCTTGTCTGTGAGAATGTTGATAATTTTCTGGATTAGTCATCTAAGAAAATCAGTGGCCAAATCCTAAAGGTATCCCTTTACCTTACTGCAGAATTTCCCCAGGCTCCATGCTTGTCTGTGAGAATGTTGATAATTTTCTGGATTAGCTGAGTTGCTGTCACATGATCTCGATATTTAGCTGCTCTTATCAAATGATCACACATCTTCTCATCTTCCCGTTTGTCTGCAGAATACTGGGCACACAGTGACTTGGATAGGAAATAAAAAAGAAACATTTATTAATACTGTAATAATATTTTTTAAAACTTTAAAATGTACTGTGAAATAATCTTTAGCATGAATCACACCGACGAAAATTTTAAAGCTATTTTTATATCCCTCATTAACCTAATTGACTGAGATTTAGTGATCTGCTGTCTCAGTACAACAATCCCCAAGGAATTATTTCTCTAAAGTCAATCATAAGATACACTCAGAAGTGGTTAACATTTAAGCAGAGACCTGAACAATGAGAAGCCAGTCACATAAGATGTAGTGGCCCAGCATTACAAACAGCATGATGTGAAGTTACAAAAGACGTGAAACATAGTGGATAAGAGGAATAATGGTATGAAATGAGTTCAGAGAGGTAGGCAGGGCCTACATCATTTCCTGTATTTTATTCTAATGTGATGCGACAAGGGTGGAAGGTTTTAAGCATAGAGTGATGTGGTCAATTTACATATTTAAATGATCACTATAGCTGCTATTTAGAGAATGGACTGTAATGCGACAAGAGAAGTGAAGTGGGGAAACAAGTTACCAAGCCACTGCAGCAGTCCAAACAAGAAACAAAAGTAGCTTACAAAAAAGTAAACTGAGCTAGTTCTCAACACCTTTAGAAAATGTTTAGTCTTTTAAATCCTAACTATGCAAAATGGATCAGCAACACTGGAATCACCTGGGAGTTTATTAAAAACGCAAAATCTCAGGTCCCACCCCAAACTTACTACATCAGTATCTGGATTTTAATAAGATTCCCCAGATGATTTATACGTACATTAAAGTTTGAAAAGTACTGTCTTAGATATCATCAAATTTGCCAAAAAGTCTTAGAATTCTTTAGCAATAATCAGATATAATACAATTACTAGTTTTCAAAATGCTTATTTCTTTTCTTTGGAATTCAGAAACTTGCGGTGTCATGTTTATGATGCTATAGTTAATTAATTGCTTAAAATAAGAAAACATAAAGACTGATGTAAACTTGATTTTTTATTCTATTCAAAGGGTCTATTGGACTTTTCCCCTTAACTTCCAAATGTAAGTTTACAAATACCTACATACATATATACACACAATGCTTGATAAGTAACAAATATGATGCTAGAACAAATATACTGGTTTATATATGTGATACACATTGTGGTTGTCTGCCTCTCCTACCACATACAAGTTTGGATAAATTGTTGCCACAAACTACACTCACCACAGCCCCAATGACAAAAGAGGGTCCTAACTGTCCTAAACCAATCAAAGTAATAGTCACACACACACACTGACAAACTGGCTAGAGAAGGGCACTTGATGTAACTGGTGCATTAAGCAGAAAGTTCCGGGTTTTGTAGCATAGTACTCTCCTTCCCCTCAGGGTGTAAAGGAGGAAATACATAACTCCTTGTAAGATGGAAGCTTTCTCTGTACCATAAAGGAAGCCGGCAAGAAGACAAAGCCAAAACCCAAAGAGAGCAGAACTATGAGAAACAGAGCTTCTTCCAGACGGAATCATGAACTTCTGGATCAATCAAATCCTAAAGACCAGCCTACTTTTATACTTCCTATGAGACTTTTTTTTAGATTTTTTTTTATAAGAGCCAAAAAATTCCTGTTAATTTTGTGCCAGTATAAATTGGGTTTTCTGTTCCTTACACCAAAAGCAACCCAACAGATATGGTGTATATGTACATGCACAAGGAATCAAATATGTCTTAGCCTGTGCAAACACTATGCTATAGGGATCAGAGGTTGAATTTAATAATAGGGGAATTTGAGAAGATAAGTTATTCTTGGGTGGGAATAAAGAGAACCTTTAAAGCAAAGGCAAGGCAGAAAAACATAGGTCAATTTCAGGGAGAAGCAACACAGTCTGACCCCAAGAATAAAACATAGGTAGAAAAAATAACAGATTGAAGAAAATCTGGAATGCAGAATCAGGATAGAAAAAAGTCACTAAGAATCATAGTGTGTTTATATGAATAAACATAAGACTGTGAAGCAAAACAAAAACCAGATTACAGTATCACCCTTGCTTATATCTCCTGCCAGTTCTGGGCAACTAACTCATTTACCTTTTTAGGTCTAAATGTCCTCATCTGCAAACTGAGGGGATTATATTAGCTTTAAGAATTTGTCAATTAGAAGATTATGGGCAACCACTGAGAGTTACTCAAGAGTACTTGAGTACCATCTCTGAGAGACATACACCGGTAAAGGCAAACTATTTACTTCATTTAAATATTGATGTGAGGAAAATAAGTCATATTAGGAACTAAGTTAATTTACAAGAAATTAAAAGCAAATGTCATATGCTATATTTAAAAAAACAGATTGAGCCAAACAAACCACAGGAAAGTTGTTTGTTATATTACTTGAGCAAACAAAAGAAAGAAAATGATTTAAAAACATCTGAAGGGACAGTAGTTCACGTGAATCATTCCACTGTAACAAAAATGTCAACAAATATGTGATATTTTCAGAGATATCATTCAAGAGTGAGGAAGCATCCTATAGGTTACTTTATTCTTAGCCCAACTACACACTGAAATGAATCGTACAAAATAGGAAATATTTGCGGAATTTTATACTTTCAACATTCTCTACTATATCCATGATCTGCCCTTGTCTAACTTCACCTGATAGGAGAAAATTCAAATTCTTCATAGAATTTAAAAAATTAAAAATTGGTTTCTTTACTCTCCTGAAACACCATATACCTTCACATTAAATAGTACTAAAAGTACCAAAAAGACATTATTGTATAACCTATTATTTCTATTTTGTTACTATTAGGATAATATAACTTTACCAAGTTATATTTTATAAATATTTGACAAGCTATTAAAGTTTTCTTGGAAAGGCATAATTATAAAAACAAGAGCTCAAGGTAAGCTAAATAGTAAAATGGTTTAAAGTGTTCTTTAATGGATCCTCCTTTACAATTTGAACAGCAACTTTTCATATCTGACATAAAATCTATAGATATAAATCACATTAAAGGGCTATTCTTTCCCGATTATCAATCTCTGTCTCTTTGTGGAACATTAAAGTCACATTTGACCTTAAAACATGATAAAAAGAAACCAAACAAGAATGGTTTGTAAAGATATGATGAACTTTTATCTATTTCATAAAATATCTTTACAATATAAATTGAAGATATTCTTACTAAAAAACAATAATAAATTCTACGTATGACATATCATTCAAAGTCAAGTACACATGAGGAACATTTGCTTCAAAATCAAAAACACACTACTTATCAGTGGTACACATATTTGTATATGTTTGTGTGCTTCTGTTTGGAGATTGAATAGAGGTACCGCAAGAGACCCTACCAAAAAATGCCATTTATCAATAAAACGAAGGGTCAGATCTAAAACTTGCATTCAACTTTACGTTAGGCAGAATTTCTTATACTTCAATCAACTTTTCTGTTTTCCTATTTTAAGCAACAGATTAAACTAGGTAATATAACATCACAACCTGACCAAAAAAAAATTTCTGAATCCAAAAAGAAAAGAAATAAGCATCTTGGGAACTAACAATTCAATTGCTAAAGAAACCTAAGATTTATTACTGTACAATTAATAAACTAAATATAAGATAAACTTCCTTCTTAAAAGAAATTCAGTTACTTGCAGTAAAAGGATAAAGTAATCGCTGAAGAGAAAAACAATTCAAAACGGCCATTTGTAAACCAAGTGACTATTTTGGCTCGTTAAATATAAATGAATAGAGACAATACTATATTCAATCTTTCCTTCCAGATGTCATGGCTCTACCTAACTTTCCCAGTTGTCCTTTTGATGAAAGTTCAGACAGGAGTGAACTAAAAATTAAGCAATTCCTCTCGTTTCCTCCTGTCATCGATCCAACCACTCTTCTTGGTTTTCAGGTTTTTTCCTTTATTATTCCCCATTATAAAAGATTGGCATTTCCCAAGGGCTTTGTCAAATATCCCTTGGCAATATCGTCTACTCCCATATAATTTACTGTCATCAATTTAGGCCTAGCTTTCACATTTTCATATCTGATCTAGCTGTTTTTCCTAAACCCTGAGCCCACAATTCTATCTGCAGGATAATCTCTACTTGTCCAATAAGCACATAAAAATTAAAAATACAAAAAAATAAACGTACCATCTTCACCCTAAACATGCTATTACACTTAGGAGGGCAAATTTTTCTATTCACTCTTCTCTGTGACTTCTTGACTTTCCTCACTTCATATCCCATTCATTCCATTTTAGCAAAACCTCTTCTTAATCACTCTGATCACTGCTATTACACAGATCTTTATTAGTTCACAGCTCAGCTCTCAAAATAATCTTCTAATTGGCCTCTTATGAACAGTCCCAGAAATATTTCCACACGAATTTATGTTGCTATAGCACAGATATATTTATATACTCCACTCCCAAAAAAGAGCATAACTGTCTAAAATATTGGAAAACTAGGACCATATTTTACTAGCTAGAACTTGTGACCTATTATTCAACTATGTGGGACACTATCTTTCATCATACCTGCCTATGCATCCTATATTCCAAACACACTCAGATTGTAAGCTACTTCCCAAGACTGTAAAGACAAAAAAATATATTTTTTTATAGATTTTTTTAAATGTCTATTGAGAAGGTGATGGCTAGGATTTTATGAACAAACTACTAGATACAAGGAAGTTATGCAGAGGAAGAGATCTGGAAATATAGATAACCTTTTGATTCTTTGACTGAATACATGGAGTAAAACCATCTAAAATTTTCAGATTAATTGGAAATTAAACAATTCATGTCTGAGTAACTTACAGATTAAAGATGAACTCACAGGACAATTGGAAAAAATTGTGCAATCAGCTAAAACAGTATTTTTTAAATTGGTTATGAATATTCATGAGATACAAAGCTGATTGTCACCCCCCGTGCCCATGATGTGGGGGCCAGATTCATACTGGCTGTATACTCATTACCACAAATTGCAACTGTACGCCA